TACCACCAATGAAATAAGAGACCAAACCAAGCCTTTATAGTAGTGACGTATCGAAAATCGAAATGGTGTATTTAAGTTTTACACTCACAAAAAATAAACCTATCAACAAACGTTTAAACAACTCTATTCGATTATGTACCAGCTACCCAGTGTCGGCTAACAATACGAAGAATTAATCTGTGACGAAATGCTAAAAGTTCTTCAAATACCTATAGAATGATAGGTTTCTTTTTTGTGAGTGTAAAACACTGAAATACACCATTCCGAATGTACTTACCTGTTGAGATGATGGTTCTTGGTTAGCACAAGCTTCAGTTGTAAAGGAAGGATTGGAAAAATGTGACATCTGAGACAGTTCTTGCTGCATCTGAAGGCTGAAAGCTCCATGATTGGTGAATGTTTGATGTGGGCGTGGCCAATTTGGGTTATCTGTAAAACATATTTAATATACAGCTATAGTTAATTACTAAATGATGTACCCACTCAGGGTCCTCCGAGCAGTGACGTAGAGGGCCAAATCCGAACGCCGACACCACCTATGTCACTCCCTGTTGTGCCCTAAGAGTGCCTTTGAAAATTTATAGAATATTCGTTAGAATAGTATGGGGAATATATAATGGGCCCTAAGGGGAAATGCCACATTTTGTTTAGATCAATCAAAAACTGAAGGCATGAAAAGCGGCCTCATAGACAGAAAGAGTTCCCTGGGTTGATATGGGGCCAGATTTCGAATGCCAACTCGCCTATATAACCCTCGGAAGGCCCGAAGGACGCTTCCTAAGCTTGGTTAAGATCGATAAAAAAATGAAGGCGTGAAAGGCAGACACACACACACAGACAAAGGTCCCCTGGGGAGTGACATGGATGGTTCAACATTTGGAACTAGTGTCTATGTCACTCTACAGGGGACGCTGTCTCTTTTTATTTCTGCTTTTCACGCCTTCAGTTTTTGCCTATTTGTTTGTTGTTAAGAGCAAAGTTACATAATGTGTCCATCACGTGTTTCGAAACCCGATTTTATGCGTTATAAGCCTACAGACTTACTGCTGAGCTACTGGAGGAGCTTCAGATTTTGACCTTACATATATGTAACGTCGTGACTTGCGGCAACACATGCTCTGACGATGGAAATAATGGATTTTCTTAGGTTTTATATAAATACAAGCTTTAGATACCAAAAAAATGGTCTTAATCCTGAATATTTAACACACGAACCACATATAAGAAGCACGAAATGAAACATTGCTTGGATAATCACATATTAATTCATTTTATATGGTTTGTTTACCCAAACACTTAGAATAAGTGACAAAAGCTTCTAAGCATGTGGTAGCATTAAAACAAACTGTACATCCAATTCGCCGAGTGATTTAGCAGTAATTATGATGGGCTCTGAATTCGTGCATGCTTAATCAGTTAATATCAGTGTAAAGATTAGAATATTATGGTTTATTTCTAAATGCATTTAAAATACAATGTATTTGCAGCGACAGTTTAAACAATTAACATATAAAAACTTGAATTTGTTCTCATGACAATGACGTAATTCAAAAGTTTGACTTACCGTAATGGTGAAGAGTGTTACTAGACTCGATACTTGGTGGACAATGTGTGGTAACTGAAGTTGGTAGCTGGATGTAGTCTGTAGACAGATGTAAAGCAGAACAGAAGTTTGTCACATGGTGTTTCTCTAGCTGTTTTCTCCATCGTGCCCTTTTATTGCTGAACCATATCTACAAAACACATCCTGTATATTAAGAAACTACAGAAAAATCAGTAAGATAAAAATTCAGAGAAGAAGACAAAAAATATCAACATGTCGTCCAAGAAGGAAAACCTATAGAGTTCTAAACTGATTTCAACACAAAAAATTTCTATTATGATATAATATGTGAGGACAACAAGGGACCTGTTGGTCTATGTAGGTCGTCCAATCTATTAAACTAAACTAAAAAATAAACGCCTCAAATCCAGCCTTTATCATTCACATTTTTATCAAACCTTTCTTTAAACTCCTTAAAATTACTGCACCCAACACATACGAAACCAATCCATTCCAAATGTCAACTACCCTCTTAAGAAAATTAAAACATTTTTAGTTAATTTAAAGATGATCCATACCCTGCCAAAATTTACACTTGTGTCCCCGAGTCCTACCATTCTCACCATTAATTACCAAAAAAAAAACAAAAAACAAAGATGATGTAGCGACATTATTAACTCCCCTTAACAATATTCCCCTTGACAATCTTAACCCCCTCAATCCAATCTTCTCAGACCCATCTTTTTCCAAGAGAAACCAATTTCAGAGATCTTAACTTGTCTTCACATGATAACTTTTCCATTCCAGGTTTTATCCCAGTAGCCCTCCTCTGAACTCTTTCCAACAATTCAATTCACTTTTTAAGGAAAGGAGCCCAAGATTGAACACAATATTCCAAATGTGGCCTAACCAGTGACCTATAAAAAATAAATTATTACCTCTTTATACTTATATTTAATGTTTCTGTGGATACAACGTAAAATCCTATCTGCCCTACTACCAACAACAGTACACTGTTTGGATGGCTCAAGAAATCGATCACCCAAAACATTAAGATACTTTTCTTCCATAACACTGTTAAGGTTATTGCTCTCAAAATTGCACTTATGATTTAAATTATAACCCACAGATATTACCTCGCAACAAAAAAATAGCAGCAAGTGCCCCACGTATCCAATTCTTGAACTCCTTCAAAACCTTTGGGGAAATATTATCTGGTCCAGGAGCCTTATCATTCTTTAAACTTATCAATTATGAAGAGTAACAGAGTTGGGAATAAATCGAGAGGCTATGTGTGAAAGTTTTTTTGGGGAGACGAAACAAAAATGTTCATCCTAAGCAACATAATAGCTTTAAAAAATGTAAAATATATATTTAATAACACCAAAGCTAAACTTGGTTTCTAAAAATGGAAGCATACACAGTGTTTCCAAATCTCTTAAGATTACGTATTTACCAGACTTATTTAAATTTCTTTTTTTTACGTTTGTATTAATCTACCAGATAATATTCAGTTGAATTAAAAACGTATATATTATAAAAATTAATCATTTAACAACTCCATCACCTGTACACGATCCTCGGTCAGCTTTGTTCTCTCGGCCAGCTCTTCTCTTGTGGACACATCCGGGTACTGAGTTCTTTCAAAAGTACGCTCTAGATCCTCAAGCTGTTCCATGGTAAAAGTGGTTCGGGAACGTCTTTGCTTTCTCTTGAGTGGAATGCCTGATTCGGGTTTATAATCAGAGTTATTATTGCTATTGTTGCCTACAACAAAAACAAATGATCAGGCAGAAGATAAATTAGGGTTTCTGTCAGAGAAATTAAAAGTTCTGCATTGCAGACGAAATATGGCAAATATAATATATTATAATACATTGTTTGTTTTGTTTGTTTTTTGAATTTCGCGTAAAGCTACACGAGGGCTATCTGAAAGATGAATTAGAATGTGATATAAGGATAAAGGGAAAGTCGTGAAAGA